AGAAAACCATTAGGATTAGATCATCGTCGCCCTGGTACAGTGTTCAACTCCACACTTTAAAACAGGACGTCAGAAAATTGGAGAGACTATATCGCCACTCCCACTCGGAGCCTGTCCACAGGGAGTGGAAAGCAGGTCTCCGAAACTACAAGAAGGCCCTTCGCGGGGCTCGAACTCAATACTATTCAACTTTAATAGAAGCGAATAAAAACAACAGTAGATTTTTGTTTGGTACCGTCGCTAAACTCACAAACTGCCATAGCGCAATCGAGCCTAAAATTCCAAGCTCACTGAGCAGTGTCGACTTTCTCCACTTCTTTAATAATAAAATTACATCCATCCGTGACAAGCTGGAGGAGGTTGCTCCTGCTGTTAGTGGTGGACAGGTTGAAGCGGCATATGTGACTTCCCACTTAGACTCTTCAGTGGGCCTTAATAAATTCATGGCTGTGAGCCAAGCAGAGGTGATCTCTGTGGTCACATCCTCAAAAGCCTCAACTTGCATGTTAGACGCAGTCCCGACATGGCTCTTCAAAGACATACTTCCTTTTATAATTGAGCCTATCGTAAATATAATAAACGCATCCATACAATGTGGCTATGTCCCACAAGCTTTTAAAACCGCGGTAATCAAACCCCTTCTGAAGAAAACAAACCTGGACCCAGAAATACTTACAAACTACAGACCGATCTCAAACCTCACTTTTATATCTAAAATCCTGGAAAAACTTATAGCTGAGCAGCTCCGCTGCCACCTGCAGGAAAATGATATGTTTGAAGTCTTTCAATCAGGATTCAGAGCTCATCATAGCACTGAAACGGCACTAGTCAAAGTCACAAATGACTTACTACTAGCTGCTGATAATGGACAAGTGTCAGTGCTGGTCCTACTGGACCTTAGTGCTGCATTTGACACAATAGACCACAGCATTCTACTGCAGAGGCTAGAATGTGATATAGGTCTTAGAGGAACAGCCCTTGGCTGGTTTAAATCCTATTTATCAGATCGATATCACTTCGTCAATGTGAATCAGGACTCGTCGCCTTATTCTGGAGTGGAATTCGGTGTGCCGCAGGGTTCGGTACTCGGACCGATTCTTTTTACTCTCTACATGCTGCCATTAGGAAACATTATTAAAAAGCATGGAATTAATTTCCACTGCTATGCAGATGACACACAGCTTTATCTGTCGATGAAGCCTAATCAGACAGATCAGCTAGAAAAGCTCAGTGCCTGCATAAAGGACCTTAAAATGTGGATGACTCTTAACTTCCTACTTCTCAACCCGGAGAAGACAGAAGTGATCCTACTCGGTCCGAAGCGCCTGCGTGACTCCCTCACTAACCAGATGGTTACTCTCGATAATGTCAGTATAATACCCAGTAACACTGTGAGGAATCTTGGAGTCATTTTTGACCAAGAACTCTCCTTCAAGGCTTATATAAGCCAAGCAACTAAAACGGCGTACTTCCACTTACGGAACATCGCTAAAATTAGGAATTTCCTTCCTAAAAGTGACGCGGAAAAACTCATTCACGCGTTTGTCACCTCAAGGCTCGACTACTGTAACGCTTTATTGGCAGCATGCCCTAAAGCCTCTTTGAAGAGCTTCCAGCTCGTTCAGAATACAGCAGCTAGGATCTTAACAGGTACCAAAAGGAGGGAGCACATAACTCCGGTGTTAAAATCACTCCACTGGCTCCCTGTGGAGTACAGAATAAAGTTTAAAATCCTACTCTTAACATATAAAGCCATAAATGGCTTGGCTCCTTCTTATCTCCAAGACACGTTAGTGTCGTATCAACCAGGTCGAGCGTTGCGCTCACAAAACGCCAGACGTCTGGTGGTCCCTAAGGTCTCAAAGGTCACTGTTGGTGGCAGAGCATTTAGCTACCAAGCTCCTTTACTGTGGAATCAGCTTCCCATTTATGTTAAGGAAGCAGATACGGTCTCCACATTCAAGGCCAGGCTTAAAGCACTTTACTTTAATTTAGCATATAATTAGGTAATATATAATATGTAGTGTATATATTATATATATATGCTGTATTATGTTATATATTATGTTATATATTATTCAATAATGTATTGTGTTATGTTGTATATTATGTTATATATTATGCTGTATGTTATTCTTTATTCAAGGCTAGGTTTAAAACAGTCCTCTTTAGTTTAGCATATGGCTAGGAAGGTAAGACTCGGAGAAGGTTAAACTCCTCAGAGTGTTAGTCAAGCTGCATAGGGAGTCAGTTTGCTGGGAGAAGTATGGTAACTTGAGCACTATCCTCTCCTCCTTCCTACTTTATCTGTTTAGCATTTTTAGGATTCTGACTGTAGTTTGTTCATTGCTATTCACCCGTTGTCCCATTGTCTGTTTCATGGTACGATGACGGGATCTCTGAGCCTGGCCTCTTCCATCTACACCTGCGGACTGCCCCGCCCGACCCGCCTGGGAGTGCTTCAGTCCTGCACCGGACCTGTCCACGTTCAGCGGCCACTGGTCCACGTTCTGTAGCTAGCTTAGGTCCTGGATCATTAGCCTGTCCGTCCGGAGGAGCGGATCCCTTTCTCATATGGGTCTCCCTCCCTGTGGGTTTCCCTAGTTCTCCCCAAGGTTTCTCACTTTTTCCCACTGGGTTTTTTAAGAGTTTTTCCTTGTCGATGCAGGAGGGTCTTGTTGGACAGCTAGTGTCCAACAGAAAGGATTGGTGATGATCAGGACACTTTAGCATTCTACAACATGTATGGACATTTTCTTCTGTGTGTGCTTTATATTCTTCATGTGTTTTAACTGTTGATTCTCTGACCTGTGTTGGTGATTTCAATGGTTTTGTTAAGTCCTCTGAGATGACTTCTGTTGTGACCTAGGGCTATACAAGAATAAATTTTATTGTATTGTATTGTATTGTACCCACCTTTCCTACACACTGTACATAACTACCTACCTACACACTGTACATAACTACCTACCTACCTACCTACACACTGTACAGAACTACCTACCCACCTTTCCTACACACTGTACATAACTACCTACCTACCTACCTACACACTGTACATAACTACCTACCTACACACTGTACATAACTACCTACCCACCTTTCCTACACACTGTACATAACTACCTACCTACCTACACACTGTACATAACTACCCACCTACCTACACACTGTACATAACTACCTACCCACCTTTCCTACACACTGTACATAACTACCTACCTACTGTACCTACATTCAACAAAAATATAAACGCAACACTTTTGTTTTTGCTCCCATTTTCCATGAGATGGACTTAAAGACCTAAAATTCATTCCAGATCCACAATATTACCATTTCTCTCAAACATTGTCACAAATCTGTCAAACTGTGTGATAGTGAGCACTTCTGCTTTGCTGAGATAATCCATCCCACCTCACAGGCCACATCAAGACTCTGATCTGATCATGATGAGTGCACTGCCTCAGACTGGCCACAATAAAAGGCCACTCTGAAATTATTTTGTTTTATTGGGGGTCTGGGGACTCAGAACCAGTCAGTGTCTGGGTCTGGGGACTCAGAACCAGTCAGTGTCTGGGTCTGGGGACTCAGAACCAGTCAGTATCTGGGTCTGGGGACTCAGAACCAGTCAGTGTCTGGGTCTGGGGACTCAGAACCAGTCAGTGTCTGGGTCTGGGGACTCAGAACCAGTCAGCGTCTGGGTCTGGGGACTCAGAACCAGTCAGTGCCTGGGTCTGGGGACTCAGAACCAGTCAGTGTCTGGGTCTGGGGACTCAGAACCAGTCAGTGTCTGGGGACTCAGAACCAGTCAGTATCTGGGTTTGGGGACTCAGAACCAGTCAGTATGTGGGCCTGGGGACTCAGAACCAGTCAGTGTCTGGGTCTGGGGACTCAGAACCAGTCAGTATCTGGGTCTGGGGACTCAGAACCAGTCAGTGTCTGGGTCTGGGGACTCAGAACCAGTCAGTGTCTGGGTCTGGGGACTCAGAACCAGTCAGTATGTGGGCCTGGGGACTCAGAACCAGTCAGTGTCTGGGTCTGGGGACTCAGAACCAGTCAGTATCTGGGTCTGGGGACTCAGAACCAGTCAGTGTCTGGGTCTGGGGACTCAGAACCAGTCAGTATCTGGTGTGACCATTTGCCTCATGCAGCGCAACAAATCTTCTTACATGGAGTTTATCAGATTGTCAATTGTGGCCTGTGGAATTTTGGTCCACTCCTCTTCAATGGCTGTGCTGCTGGATATCAGTGGGAACAGGTGCACGCTGTCGTATACGCTGGTCAAGCACATCTCAAACTTGCTCAATGATTGACATGTCCGGTGTTGGCCGTGCAAGAACTGGGACATTTTCAGCTTCCAAGAATTGTGCAAAAATCCTTCCAACACGGGCACAGTGCATTATCTGCTGAAACATGATGTTCATGGATATATGGCACAACAATGGACCATACCATAACCCCACCACCACCATGGCCCATACCATAACCCCACCACCACCATGGCCCATACCATAACCCCACCACCACCATGGCCCATACCATAACCCCACCACCACCATGGACCATACCATAACCCCACCACCACCATGGACCATACCATTCCCCACCACCACCATGGCCCATACCATAACCCCACCACCACCATGGACCATACCATCCACAACATTGGCATCAGTAAAGCGCTCACACGACGCCATCTGCCCTGAACACTGCAAACCCAGATTCATCCATGAAGAGAACACCTCCAACGTGCCAGACGCCACGAGTCAGGTCAGTCCCGATGAGGACGAGCTGGAGTCAGGTCAGTCCCGATGAGGACGAGCTGGAGTCAGGTCAGGACCTGATGAGGACGAGCTGGAGTCAGGTCAGGACCTGATGAGGACGAGCTGGAGTCAGGTCCAGGTCCAGACCCGATGAGGAGCTGCAGTTTCTCTGAGACGGTCTATGATAGTTTTTGCAGTCTTTGGTGCAAACCAATAGTTTCAGCAGCTCTCAGTGTCTCAGACGATCTTGGAGGTGAACCTGCTGGATGTGGAGGTCCTGGGCTGGATGTGGAGGTCCTGGGCTGGATGTGGAGGTCCTGGGCTGGATGTGGAGGTCCTGGGCTGAATGTGGAGGTCCTGGGCTGGATGTGGAGGTCCTGGGCTGGATGTGGAGGTCCTGGGCTGGATGTGGAGGGTCTGGGCTGAATGTGGAGGTCCTGGGCTGAATGTGGAGGTCCTGGGCTGAATGTGGAGGTCCTGGGCTGGATGTGGAGGTCCTGGGCTGGATGTGGAGGTCCTGGGCTGAATGTGGAGGTCCTGGGCTGGATGTGGAGGGTCTGGGCTGAATGTGGAGGTCCTGGGCTGGATGTGGAGGTCCTGGGCTGGATGTGGAGGTCCTGCTGTGGTTACACGTGGTCTGCGGTTGTGAGGCTGGTTGGATGTACTGCCATATTCTCTCTCTGGCCTTTGGAGACGGCTTATGGTGGAGAAATGAACATTCAGTGCAGGAGCAGCAGATGTGGGTGACATTCTGCTGTCAGCGCTCCCTCAGAGCTTTGGCATGAGTCTGAGTCTGGAAGAAAAGTATTTTTTACTTTTCTTTTTTCCATACTTTTTTACAGGTTTCTTCTTGACAGTTAAATCGTCAGTCGACTTCATCAATCAGGGACTCTTGACTAAGCTGCACAAACAACAAATAATTTGTAATAATTCTATATAACAATTTGAAGTCATGACTTGTAGTCAGCACTTACCAGTGGTTTGTGTTCCCTTCAGTGTGCTGCTCTGTGATTGGCTGCAGCCTCAGGTGTGCTGCTCTGTGATTGGCTGCAGCCTCAAGTGTGCTGCTTTGTGATTGGCTGCAGCCTGATGCCTCCCTGTCAATCAAGACAGTGTTTAAAAGCAGAGATCATCAACCTTTCAAGCCGCAACCACCTCCTCCACCTCCTCCTTCATCTCCTCCACCGCCTCCACCCCCTTCCCAACTCCTTACCTCCCCCTCCACCTACCCCCACTCCTCCCCCTCCTCCACCTCCTCCACCTCCACCACCACCTCCTCCACCACCTCCTCCACCACCACCTCCTTACCTCCTCACACGCTCACATTCACCTTGCCCTGTTTCCACCTCCAGTGTCCAGGCCCCGGGGATCATGGTCTGCACCAGAGCCCGCCCACAGACCTACGCTCCAAACATATAAACTCCATCCATAATACACACACACACACACACGTTTTTGTTACCTGGTGGGTCCCTTTGACAGGGCCGTTCAGAATGGGACCCATAGACATAATCTTTTTTTACTGGGACTACTTTAAGTAATACAAAACAGTCAATAGAAAACAAACAACTATTTTAAAGGAATTTTATTTAAGATTTTTTTTTCGAATTGCAGTGATTCTATTTTTGACATAGAATTTAATGCCACTCCATGTCCGATGTCTAAGGTCATCTGGTGAGGCATTAATGCAGGCCAGGCCAGGCCAGGCCAGGCAGTGAGACTTCCCAGGGACCTTTCCAGTCTGTATGAAAGGTGTCATGGTCTTCTCCACAGCCTTCACCTCAGATGCAGACCATGGCTTTCTCTAACGTTCTAGGGAGATAAATAAAAATATATTAGCAATATACACTCCCAGGGTTAGGACCAAGCAGCCTGGCTGTAATCCCCCACCTGGTACACTTACCAGAAGGGGCACTGCCACTACCATGGGGTGCATCTGGATGAATGGTTGAAGGTTCTCCGCTTGAAGTTTCTTTTAGCCCGTCCGTTTGTGAGAGGATCTCTACTGCTCTCCCTGTCGCACAGAAAATAAAAATACAAGTGGCCTTTAGGGGAAAAAAATCATACATATTTTAATAATATCAAGAATTACCTTCAGGCTCAATTTGTATCTGGTCGAGGCTCTTTCCTTCGAATTCCGTCACTCTTCCCTGCTCCATGGCCATCAACACTTTGCTGATTTTGGCCAGCTCCAGTGTCCCCTCTGGTAGTCTGTAATATTGCCTGTGGATGCGAATGTCATGGCCGAGGAAGTTGGCTAGTATGTCCATCTCATTCTCTTTCATATTGAGAACTGTAGACATAGTAGCTATGTGCTTTCTAAGTTTGGTCGAGGATAGCATCTCTGGATTCTGCAACAACACGTCTGCAACAACACGTCTGCTGCAACAACACGTCTGCTGCAACAACACGTCTGCTGCAACAACACGTCTGCTGCAACAACACGTCTGCTGCAAAAAACACATCTGCTGCAACAACACGTCTGCAACAACACATATGCTGCAACAACACGTCTGCAACAACACGTCTGCTGCAACAACACGTTTGCAACAACACATCTGCTGCAACAACACATCTGCTGCAACAACACGTCTGCTGCAACAACACGTCTGCAGCAACAACACGCCTGCTGCAACAGCACGCCTGCTGCCACAACACGTCTGCTGCAACAACACGCCTGCTGCAACAACACGCCTGCTGCAACAACACGTCTGCAACAACACGTCTGCTGCAACAACACGTCTGCTGCAACAACACGTCTGCTGCAACAACACGTTTGCAACAACACATCTGCTGCAACAACACGTCTGCTGCAACAACACGTCTGCAGCAACAACACGCCTGCTCCAACAACACGCTTGCTGCCACGACACGTCTGCTGCAACAACACGCCTGCTGCAACAACACGCCTGCTCCAACAACACGCCTGCTGCAACAACACGTCTGCAGCAACAACACGTCTGCTGCAACAACACGTCTGCTGCAACAACACGTCTGCTGCAACAACACGTCTGCAGCAACAACACGCCTGCTGCAACAGCACGCCTGCAGCAACAACACGTCTGCTGCGACAACACGTCTGCTGCGACAACACGTCTGCTGCGACAACACGCCTGCTGCGACAACACGCCTGCTGCGACAACACGCCTGCTGCAACAACACGCCTGCTCCAACAACACGCCTGCTGCAACAATACGTCTGCAACAACAACACGCCTGCTGCGACAACACGTCTGCAGCAACAACACGTCTGCTGCGACAACACGTCTGCTGCGACAACACATCTGCTGCGACAACACGTCCGCTGCAACAACACGTCCGCTGCAACAACACGCCTGCTGCGACAACACGTCTGCTGCGACAATACGTCTGCTGCAACAACACGTCTGCTGCAACAACATGTTTGCTGCAACAACACGTCTGCTGCAAACACACGTCTGTAACAACATGTCTACTGCAACAGCACGTCTGCTGCAACACGCCTGCTGTATCAACACGTCTGCAGCAACAACACGTCTGCTGCAAAACACGTCTGCAGTAACAACACGCCTGCTGCAACAGCACGCCTGCAGCAACAACACGTCTGCTGCGACAACACGTCTGCTGCAACAACACGTCTGCTGCGACAACACGCCTGCTGCGACAACACGCCTGCTCCAACAACACGCCTGCTGCAACAACACGTCTGCAGCAACAACACGTCTGCTGCAACAACACGTCTGCTGCAACAACACGTCTGCTGCAACAACACGTCTGCTGCAACAACACGTCTGCAGCAACAACACGCCTGCTGCAACAACACGCCTGCTGCGACAACACGTCTGCTGCGACAACACGTCTGCTGCGACAACACGTCTGCTGCGACAACACGTCTGCTGCGACAACACGTCTGCTGCAACAACACGTCTGCAACAACACGTTTGCTGCGACAACACGTCTGCTGCAACAACACGTCTGCTGCAACAACACGTCTGCTGCAACAACACGTCTGCAACAACACGTCTGCTGCAACAACATGTCTGCTGCAACAACACGTCTGCTGCAACAACACGTCTGCAAAAACACATCTGCTGCAACAACACGTCTGCAACAACACATCTGCTGCAACAACAAGTCTGCTGCAACAACACGTCTGCTGCAACAACATGTCTGCTGCAAAAACACGTCTGCTGCAACAACACGTCTGCAACAACACATCTGCTGCAACAACACGTTTGCAACAACACATCTGCTGCAACAACACGTCTGCTGCAACAACACGTCTGCTGCAACAACACGTCTGCAGCAACAACACGTCTGCTGCAACAGCACGCCTGCTGCCACAACACGCCTGCTGCAACAACACGCCTGCTGCAACAACACGTCTGCAACAACACGTCTGCTGCAACAACACGTCTGCTGCAACAACACGTCTGCTGCAACAACACGTTTGCAACAACACATCTGCTGCAACAACACGTCTGCAGCAACAACACGCCTGCTCCAACAACACGCTTGCTGCCACGACACGTCTGCTGCAACAACACGCCTGCTGCAACAACACGCCTGCTGCAACAACACGTCTGCAGCAACAACACGTCTGCTGCAACAACACGTCTGCTGCAACAACACGTCTGCTGCAACAACACGTCTGCTGCAACAACACGTCTGCTGCAACAACATTTCTTTAACAACACGTCTGCTGCAACAGCACGTCTGCTGCAACACGCCTGCTGTTACAACACGTCTGCAGCAACAACACGTCTGCTGCAAAACACGTCTGCTGCAACAACCAACTGCTGCAACAACACGTCTGCTGCAACAACACGCCTGCTGCAATAACACGTCTGCTGAGACAACACGTCTGCTGCAACAACACGTCTGCTGCAACAGGACGTCTGCTGCAACAACACCTCTGCTGCGACAACACGTCTGCAACAACACATCTGCAGCAACAACACGTCTGCAACAACACATCTGCTGCAACAACACATCTGCTGCAACACGCCTGCTGCAACAGCACGTCTGCTGCAACACGCCTGCTGCAATAACAGGTCTGCTGCAACACCACGTCTGCTGCAACAACACTTCTGCTGCAACAACACGCCTGCTGCAACAACACGTCTGCAGCAACAAAACGCCTGCTGCAACAACACGTCTGCTGCAACAACACATCTGCTGCAACAACACGCCTGCTGCAACAACACGTCTGCAACAACACGTCTGTAACAACACGTCTGTAACAACACGTCTGTAACAACACGTCTGCAACAACACGTCTGCTGCAACAACACGTCTGCAACAACACGTTTGCTGCGACAACACGTCTGCTGCAACAACACGTCTGCAACAACACGTCTGCTGCAACAACACGTCTGCTGCTAAAACACGTCTGCAACAACACATCTGCTGCAACAACACGTCTGCAACAACACATCTGCTGCAACAACACGTCTGCAACAACACATCTGCTGCAACAACATGTCTGCTGCAACAACACATCTGCTGCAACAACACGCCTGCTGCAACAACACGCCTGCTGCAACAACACGTCTGCAACAACACGTCTATAACAACACGTCTGTAACAACACGTCTGTAACAACACGTCTGCTGCAACAACACGCCTGCTGCAACAACACACCTGCTGCAACAACACGCCTGCAGCAACAACACGCCTGCTGCAACAATACGTCTTTTGCAACAACACATCTGCTGCAACAACACGTCAACAACAACACGTCTGTAACAACACGTCTGTAACAACACGTCTGTAACAACACGTCTGCTGCGACAACAAGCCTGCTGCGACAACACGCCTGCTGCAACAACACGCCTGCAGCAACAACACGCCTGCTGCGACAACACGTCTGCTGCAACAACACGCTTGCTGCAACAACACGTCTGCTGCAACAACATGTCTGCAACAACACGTTTGCTGCGACAACACGTCTGCTGCAACAGAACGTCTGCTGCAACAACACGTCTGCAACAACACGTCTGCTGCAACAACACGTCTGCAACAACACATCTGCTGCAACAACACGTCTGCAACAACACATCTGCTGCAACAACACGTCTGCAACAACACATCTGCTGCAACAACACGTCTGCTGCAACAACACGTTTGCAACAACACATCTGCTGCAACAACAAGTCTGCTGCAACAACACGTCTGCTGCAACAACACGTCTGCAACAACACATCTGCAGCGACAACACGTCTGCAACAACACATCTGCCGCAACAACACGTCTGCTGCAACACGCCTGCTGCAACAGCAAGTTTGCTGCAACACGCCTGCTGCAATAACACGTCTGCTGCAAAAACACGTCTGCTGCAACAACACGTCTGCTGCAACAACACATCTGCTGCAACAACACGCCTGCTGCAACAACACGTCTGCAACAACACGTCTGTAACAACACGTCTGTAACAACACGTCTGCTGCGACAACACGCCTGCTGCAACAACGCGCCTGCAGCAACAAAACGTCTGCTGCAACAACACGTCTGCTGCAACAACACATCTGCTGCAACAACACGCCTGCTGCAACAACACGTCTGCAACAACACGTCTGTAACAACACGTCTGCTGCGACAACACGCCTGCTGCAACAACACGCCTGCTGCAACAACACGCCTGCTGCGACAACACGTCTGCTGCAACAACACGCCTGCTGCAAAAACACGTCTGCAACAACACGTCTGTAACAACACGTCTGTAACAACACGTCTGCTGCGACAACACGCCTGCTGCAACAACACGCCTGCTGCAACAAAACGCCTGCTGCGACAACACGTCTGCTGCAACAACACGCCTGCTGCAACAACACGTCTGCAACAACACGTCTGTAACAACACGTCTGCTGCGACAACACGCCTGCTGCAACAACACGCCTGCTGCAACAACACGCCTGCTGCGACAACACGTCTGTTGCAACAACACGCCTGCTGCAACAACACGTCTGTAACAACACGTCTGTAACAACACGTCTGTAACAACACGTCTGCTGCGACAACACGCCTGCTGCAACAACACGCCTGCTGCAACAAAACGCCTGCTGCGACAACACGTCTGCTGCAACAACACGCCTGCTGCAACAACACGTCTGCAACAACACGTCTGCTGCAACAACACGTTTGCTGCGACAATACGTCTGCTGTAACAACATGCCTGCTGCAACAACACGTCTGCAACAACACGTCTGCTGCAACAACACGTCTGCTGCTAAAACACGTCTGCTCTGCAACAACACATCTGCTGCAACAACACGTCTAAAACAACACATCTGCTGCAACAACACGTCTGCAACAACACATCTGCTGCAACAACACGTCTGCAACAACACGTCTGCTGCAACAACACGTTTGCAACAACACATCTGCTGCAACAACACGTCCGCTGCAACAACACGCCTGCTGCGACAACACGTCTGCTGCAACAACATGTTTGTTGCAACAACACGTCTGCTGCAAACACACGTCTGTAACAACATGTCTGCTGCAACAGCACGTCTGCTGCAACACGCCTGCTGTATCAACACGTCTGCAGCAACAACACGTCTGCTGCAAAACACGTCTGCAGTAACAACACGCCTGCTGCAACAGCACGCCTGCAGCAACAACACGTCTGCTGCGACAACACGTCTGCTGCGACAACACGCCTGCTGCAACAACACGCCTGCTCCAACAACACGCCTGCTGCAACAACACGTCTGCAGCAACAACACGTCTGCTGCAACAACACGTCTGCTGCAACAACACGTCTGCTGCAACAACACGTCTGCAGCAACAACACGCCTGCTGCAACAACACGCCTGCTGCAACAACACGTCTGCTGCGACAACACGTCTGCTGCGACAACACGTCTGCTGCGACAACACGTCTGCTGCAACAACACGTCTGCAACAACACGTCTGCTGCGACAACACGTCTGCTGCAACAACACGTCTGCTGCAACAACACGTCTGCTGCAACAACACGTCTGCTGCAACAACACGTCTGCTGCAACAACACGTCTGCTGCAACAACACGTCTGCAAAAACACATCTGCTGCAACAACACGTCTGCAACAACACATCTGCTGCAACAACACGTCTGCAACAACACGTCTGCTGCAACAACACGTTTGCAACAACACATCTGCTGCAACAACAAGTCTGCTGCAACAACACGTCTGCTGCAACAACACGTCTGCTGCAAAAACACGTCTGCTGCAACAACACGTCTGCAACAACACATCTGCTGCAACAACACGTTTGCAACAACACATCTGCTGCAACAACACGTCTGCTGCGACAACACGTCTGCTGCGACAACACGTCTGCTGCGACAACACGTCTGCTGCAACAACACGTCTGCAACAACACGTTTGCTGCGACAACACGTCTGCTGCAACAACACGTCTGCTGCAACAACACGTCTGCTGCAACAACACGTCTGCTGCAACAACACGTCTGCTGCAACAACACGTCTGCAAAAACACATCTGCTGCAACAACACGTCTGCAACAACACATCTGCTGCAACAACACGTCTGCAACAACACGTCTGCTGCAACAACACGTTTGCAACAACACATCTGCTGCAACAACAAGTCTGCTGCAACAACACGTCTGCTGCAACAACACGTCTGCTGCAAAAACACGTCTGCTGCAACAACACGTCTGCAACAACACATCTGCTGCAACAACACGTTTGCAACAACACATCTGCTGCAACAACACGTCTGCTGCAACAACACGTCTGCTGCAACAACACGTCTGCAGCAACAACACGTCTGCTGCAACAGCACGCCTGCTGCCACAACACGTCTGCTGCAACAACACGCCTGCTGCAACAACACGCCTGCTGCAACAACACATCTGCAACAACACGTCTGCTGCAACAACACGTCTGCTGCAACAACACGTCTGCTGCAACAACACGTTTGCAACAACACATCTGCGGCAACAACACGTCTGCTGCAACAACACGTCTGCAGCAACAACACGCCTGCTCCAACAACACGCTTGCTGCCACGACACGTCTGCTGCAACAACACGCCTGCTGCAACAACACGTCTGCTGCAACAACACGTCTGCTGCAACAACACGTTTGCAACAACACATCTGCTGCAACAACACGTCTGCAGCAACAACACGCCTGCTCCAACAACACGCTTGCTGCCACAACACGTCTGCTGCAACAACACGCCTGCTGCAACAACACGCCTGCTCCAACAACACGCCTGCTGCAACAACACGTCTGCAGCAACAACACGTCTGCTGCAACAACACGTCTGCTGCAACAACACGTCTGCTGCAACAACACGTCTGCAGCAACAACACGCCTGCTGCAACAGCACGCCTGCAGCAACAACACGTCTGCTGCGACAACACGTCTGCTGCGACAACACGTTTGCTGCGACAACACGCCTGCTGCAACAACACGCCTGCTGCAACAACACGCCTGCTCCAACAACACGCCTGCTGCAACAATACGTCTGCAACAACAACACGCCTGCTGCGACAACACGTCTGCAGCCACAACACGTCTGCTGCAACAACACGTCTGCTGCGACAACACGTCTGCTGCGAAAACACGTCCGCTGCAACAACACGTCCGCTGCAACAACACGCCTGCTGCGACAACACGTCTGCTGCGACAATACGTCTGCTGCAACAACACGTCTGCTGCAACAACATGTTTGCTGCAACAACACGTCTGCTGCAAACACACGTCTGTAACAACATGTCTGCTGCAACAACACGTCTGCTGCAACACGCCTGCTGTATCAACACGTCTGCAGCAACAACACGTCTGCTGCAAAACACGTCTGCTGCAACAACACGTCTGCAGTAACAACACGCCTGCTGCAACAGCACGCCTGCAGCAACAACACGTCTGCTGCGACAACACGTCTGCTGCGACAACACGTCTGCTGCGACAACACGTCTGCAGCAACAACACGTCTGCTGCGACAACACGTCTGCTGCGACAACACATCTGCTGCGACAACACGTCCGCTGCAACAACACGTCCGCTGCAACAACACGCCTGCTGCGACAACACGTCTGCTGCGACAATACGTCTGCTGCAACAACACGTCTGCTGCAACAACATGTTTGCTGCAACAACACGTCTGCTGCAAACACACGTCTGTAACAACACGTCTGCTGCAAAACACGTCTGCAGTAACAACACGCCTGCTGCAACAGCACGCCTGCAGCAACAACACGTCTGCTGCGACAACACGTCTGCTGCGACAACACGTCTGCTGCGACAACACGCCTGCTGAGACAACACGCCTGCTCCAACAACACGCCTGCTGCAACAACACGTCTGCAGCAACAACACGTCTGCTGCAACAACACGTCTGCTGCAACAACACGTCTGCTGCAACAACACGTCTGCAGCAACAACACGCCTGCTGCAACAACACGCCTGCTGCAACAACACGTCTGCTGCGACAACACGTCTGCTGCAACAGAACGTCTGCTGCAACAACACGTCTGCAACAACACGTCTGCTGCAACAACACGTCTGCTGCTAAAACACGTCTGCTGCAACAACACGTCTGCAACAACACATCTGCTGCAACAACACGTCTGCAACAACACATCTGCTGCAACAACACGTCTGCAACAACACATCTGCTGCAACAACACGTCTGCAACAACACGTCTGCTGCAACAACACGTTTGCAACAACACATCTGCTGCAACAACAAGTCTGCTGCAACAACACGTCTGCTGCAACAACACGTCTGCTGCAACAACACGTCTGCAACAACACATCTGCAGCGACAACACGTCTGCAACAACACATCTGCCGCAACAACACGTCTGCTGCAACACGCCTGCTGCAACAGCACGTCTGCTGCAACACGTCTGCTGCAACAACACGTCTGCTGCGACAACACGTCTGCAACAACACATCTGCAGCGACAACACGTCTGCTGCAACAACACGTCTGCTGCAACACGCCTGCTGCAACAGCACGTCTGCTGCAACAGCAAGTTTGCTGCAACACGCCTGCTGCAATAACACGTCTGCTGCAAAAACACGTCTGCTGCAACAACACGTCTGCTGCAACAACACATCTGCTGCAACAACACGCCTGCTGCAACAACACGTCTGCAACAACACGTCTGTAACAACACGTCTGTAACAACACGTCTGCTGCGACAACACGCCTGCTGCAACAACGCGCCTGCTGCAACAACGCGCCTGCAGCAACAAAACGCCTGCTGCAGCAACACGTCTGCTGCAACAACACATCTGCTGCAACAACACGCCTGCTGCAACAACACGTCTGCAACAACACGTCTGTAACAACACGTCTGCTGCGACAACACGCCTGCTGCAACAACACGCCTGCTGCAACAACACGCCTGCTGCGACAACACGTCTGCTGCAACAACACGCCTGCTGCAACAACACGTCTACAACAACACGTCTGTAACAACACGTCTGTAACAACACGTCTGCTGCGACAACACGCCTGCTGCAACAACACGCCTGCTGCGACAAAACGCCTGCTGCAACAACACGTCTGCTGCAACAACACGCCTGCTGCAACAACACGTCTGCAACAACACGTCTGCTGCAACAACACGTCTGCAACAACACGTTTGCTGCGACAATACGTCTGCTGTAACAACACGCCTGCTGCAACAACACGTCTGCAACAACACGTCTGCTGCAACAACACGTCTGCTGCTAAAACACGACTGCTGCAACAACACGTCTGCTGCGACAACACGCCTGCTGCGACAACACGCCTGCTGCAACAACGCGCCTGCAGCAACAACAACACGTCTGCTGCAACAACACATCTGCTGCAACAACACGCCTGCTGCAACAACACGTCTGCAACAACATGTCTGCAACAACACGTCTGTAACAACACGTCTGCTGCGACAACACGCCTGCTGCAACAACACGCCTGCTGCAACAACACGCCTGCTGCAACAACACGCCTGCTGCAACAACACGCCTGCTGCGACAACACGTCTGCTGCCACAACACGCCTGCTGCAACAACACGTCTGCAACAACACGTCTGTAACAACACGTTTGTAACAACACGTCTGCTGCGACAACACGCCTGCTGCAACAACACGCCTGCTGCAACAAAACGCCTGCTGCGTCAACACGTCTGCTGCAACAACACGCCTGCTGCAACAACACGTCTGCAACAACACGTCTGCTGCAACAACACGTCTGCAACAACACGTTTGCTGCGACAATACGTCTGCTGTAACAACACGTCTGCTGCAACAACACGTCTGCAACAACACGTCTGCTGCAACAACACGTCTGCTGCTAAAACACGCAGTGTTTCCCACAGGTTTGAAGGCAATGTGTGGTGGTCGTCGGCGGGGGGGGGGGGGGGGGGGGGGGGGGGGGGGGGGTACAGTGGTAGAGGACAATCTTGAGGTCATGAATCCAGTGAAATTAGTCGCACACCTTTTTACAGTAATAAGTTACAGCAGATCAAAAGTGACATGTTTTGACAATTTTTAGGCTATTTTGGACCAAAATGGCTGCTTTAAATCAATATTTCTACAGTAAAAGTTTCTGGTCTTTGGTACAGTGGTAGAGGGCAATCATGAGGTCGTGAATCCAGTGAAATTAGTCGCACACCTTTTTACAGTAAAAAGTTACAGTAGATCAAAAGTGACATGTTTTGACTATTTTGGAGGTATTTTGGACCAAAATGGCTACTTTACCTCAATATTTCTCAATATTTCTACAGTAAAAGTGTCTGGTCTTTGGTACAGTGGTAGAAGGCAATGTTGAGGTCATGAATCCAGTGAAATCAGTTGCACACCTTTTTACAGTGAAAAGTTTACAGTAGATCAAATGTGACATGTTTTGACCATTTTTAGGCTATTTTGGACCAAAATGGCTACTTTAAATCAATATTTCTCAATATTTCTACAGTAAAAGTGTCTGGTCTTTGGTACAGTGGTAGAGGACAATCTTGAGGTCATGAATCCAGTGAAATTAGTCGCACACCTTTTTACAGTAAAAAGTTACAGTAGATCAAAAGTGACATGTTTTGACTATTTTGGAGGTATTTTGGACCAAAATGGCTACTTTACCTCAATATTTCTCAATATTTCTACAGTAAAAGTTTCTGGTCTTTGGTACAGTGGCAGAGGGCAATAATAAGGTCATGAGTCAAGTGAAATTAGTCGCACACCTTATTCCAGTAAATAGTTACAATACTTGAAAATTGCACTAGCGGACCAAATTGTGTACTTTATACATGTAAACAATAGAGTGGCTATCCTCCTGAGGACTCACAATCTGCCGGAGGAATCGTAGGGGGCTGGTGCTATGTGTGCCGGGTGGCATCTCTATAAGGTTTTAATCACAAAAACGTGTCTCCCTGACCCCAGCGCGCTTTCTGTTCGATAAAAATGGGTGACTCCGAAAGGACGTTCCGCTGTTACCGTAAGTTCTCAACAAAACGCGCACCGTCTTTTCCCCGATGCGGGCCGCATGTTCATAGAGCTGAAAGATGCGGGCCACTTTACCGCGGTAAATGAATAGACACAGCTGCTTACAGCGATGATCGCTGATGGAGACGGAGACACGCGGTGTGCACGAAGGGGAGGGGCTGTGTGTGTGTAGGTCTCTGTATGTGGGAGAGACGCGTAGCTTGAGTGAGAGTTACGAAGGGCCGCCACATTTTAAACCCCCCTCCCCGCTGTCAAATTGACCGCTGCGGCGGCACTAGACGATGCATGTTTTAAATAGCGTAACAAAAAAAATATATATATAATAATACGAAACGCATTTTGTGGCGGGCGGTCTCTAATCTGTGTCGGTGCGCCACAGATTAGTCTATGTGTGGGAAACACTGACACGTCTGCTGCAACAACACGTCTGCAACAACACATCTGCTGCAACACGTCTGCTGCAACAACACGTTTGCAACAACACATCTGCTGCAACAACAAGTCTGCTGCAACAACACGTCTGCTGCAACAACACGTCTGCTGCAACAACACATCTGCTGTAACAACACGTCTGCAACAACACGTCTGCTGCAACAACACGTCTGCAGCAACAACACGCCTGCTGCAACAACACGCCTGCTCCAACAACACGCCTGCTGCAACAACACGTCTGCAGCAACAACACGTCTGCTGCAACAACACGTTTGCAACAACACGCCTGCTGCAACAACACGCCTGCTCCAACAACACGCCTGCTGCAACAACACGTCTGCTGCAACAACACGTCTGCAGCAACAACACGCCTGCTGCAACAGCACGCCTGCAGCAACAACACGTCTGCTGCGACAACACGTCTGCTGCAACAACACGTCTGTTGCGACAACACACCTGCTGCGACAACACGCCTGCTGCAACACGCCTGCTCCAACAACACGCCTGCTGCAACAACACGTCTGCAGCAACAACACGCCTGCTGCGACAACACGGCTGCAGCAACAACACGTCTGCTTCGACAACACGTCTGCAGCAACAACATGTCTGCTGCGACAACACGTCTGCTGCGACAACACGTCTGCTGCAACAACACGTCTGGTGCGACAATACGTCTGCTGCAACAACACGTCTGCTGCAACAACACGTCTGCTGCAACAACACGTCTGTAACAACATGTCTGCTGCAACAGCACGTCTGCTGCAACACGCCTGCTGTAACAACACGTCTGCAGCAACAACACGTCTGCTGCAACAACACGCCTGCTGCAATAACACGTCTGCTGCAACAACACGTCTGCTGCAACAACACGTCTGCTGCAACAACACGCCTGCTGCAATAACACGTCTGCTGCAACAACACGTCTGCTGCGAGAGCACGTCTGCTGCAATAACACGTCTGCTGCAATAACACGTCTGCTGCAACAACACGTCTGCTGCAACAACACGTCTGCTGCAACAACACGTCTGCTGCAAGAGCACGTCTGCTGCAACAACACGCCGGCTGCAACAACACGTCTGCTGCAACAGCACGTCTGCTGCAACAACACGTCTGCTGCAACACTTCTGCTGCGACAACACGTCTGCAACAACACGTCTGCTGCAACAACACGTCTGCTGCGACAACACGTTTGCAACAACACGTCTGCAGCAACAACACGTCTGCTGCAAAACACGTCTGCTGCAACAACACGCCTGTTGCAATAACACGTCTGCTGCAACAACACGTCTGCTGCAACAACACGTCTGCTGCAACAACACGTCTGCTGCAACAACACGCCTGCTGCAACAACACGTCTGCTGCAACAACACGCCTGCTGCAATAACACGTCTGCTGAGACAACACGTCTGCTGCAACAGCACGTCTGCTGCAACAACACGCCGGCTGCAACGAAACGTCTGCTGCAACAGCACGTCTGCTGCAACGACACGTCTGCTGCAACACCTCTGCTGCGACAACACGTCTGCAACAACACGTCTGCTGCAACAACACGTCTGCTGCGACAACACGTCTGCAACAACACGTCTGCAGCGACAACACGTCTGCAACAACACATCTGCTGCAACAACACGTCTGCTGCAACACGCCTGCTGCAACAGCACGTCTGCTACAACAACACGTCTGCTGCAACAACACGTCTGCAGCAACAACACGTCTGCTGCAAAACACGTCTGCTGCAACAACACGCCTCCTGCAATAACACGTCTGCTGCAACAACACGTCTGCTGCAACAACACGTCTGCTGCAACACCACGTCTGCTGCAACAACACGCCTGCTGCAATAACACGCCTGCTGCAATAACACGTCTGCTGAGACAACACGTCTGCTGCAACAACACGTCTGCTGCAACAGCACGCCGGCTGCAACGACACGTCTGCTGCAACAGTACGTCTGCTGCAACAACACGTCTGCTGCAACACTTCTGCTGCGACAACACGTCTGCAACAACACGTCTGCTGCAACAACACGTCTGCTGCGACAACACGTCTGCAACAACACATCTGCAGCGACAACACGTCTGCAACAACACATCTGCTGCAACAACACGTCTGCTGCAACACGCCTGCTGCAACAGCACGTCTGCTGCAACAACACGTCTGCTGCAACAACACATCTGCTGCAACAACACATCTGCTGCAACAACACGTCTGTTGCGCCGTGCGTTACATCAGACTTTGCTTCTAAACCCGCCGCAGTCTGGTCCGGTCTGAACGTGGCTCTGGTCCTGGCTCCAGAACAGACCTGCAGCCGTGGCTCAGCTCCTCCAGCGCCCCCCTGAGGCGGCGCTCGGGATAGGCCTTCTCGGTCTTGATGACTTCCTGCACGTCGTTCAGACCCTCCTCCTGAAACACACACACTTTAACCAGAGCTGTTCATCTGTGACAAAATGTCTGACAAGTCATCTGTGTGACACAGCTCACTCAGGTCCTGATCTCCTGGTATCTCAAACTGAAAGATTCTAAGCTGGATATACTTTTGGTCTGGGTCATGGTCCTGGTCCGAGTCCGGGTCTAAAGCTGTGTTCACACCAAAAGCTTCAAAACGCTTTTGACGCGTGTTGTTTTTGACGCTGATTTAATTTTGTCATTTTGGTGCTTGACGTGCCTACCGCTCCTGCCGCTCCTACCGCTCCTGATGCTCCTGACGTGCGTGATGCTCCTGACGTGCCTGAGGCTCCTGACGTGCCTGAGGCCTGATGCTCCTGACGTGCCTGAGGCTCCTGACGTTCCTGATGCTCCTGACGTACCTGAGGCTCCTGACGTGCCTGATGCCCCTGACGTGCCTGATTCTCCTGCCGCTCCTGACGTGTCTGAGGCTCCTGACGTGCCTGATGCTCCTGCCGCTCCTGACGTGCCTGATGCTCCTGACGTGCCTGACATGCCTGAGGCTCCTGACGTGCCTGATGCTCCTGACGTGCCTGATGCTCCTGCCGCTCCTGAGGCTCCTGACGTGCCTGATGCTCCTGACGTGCCTGAGGCTCCTGACGTGCCTGAGGCTCCTGACGTGCCTGATGCTCCTGACGTGCCTGAGGCTCCTGACGTGCCTGATGCTCCTGACGTGCCTGATGCTCCTGACGTGCCTGATGCTCCTGACGTGCCTGATGCTCCTGACGTGCCTGATGCTCCTGAGGCTCCTGACGTGCCTGATGCTCCTGCCGCTCCTGACGTGCCTGAGGCTGCTGACGTGCCTGAGGCTCCTGACGTGCCTGATGCTCCTGACGTGCCTGATGCTCCTGACGTGCCTGATGCTCCTGACGTGCCTGATGCTCCTGACGTGCCTGAGGCTCCTGACGTGCCTGATTCTCCTGCCGCTCCTGCCGCTCCTGACGTGCCTGATGCTCCTGCCGCTCCTGACGTGCCTGATGCTCCTGACGTGCCTGATGCTCCTGAGGCTCCTGACGTGCCTGATGCTCCTGCCGCTCCTGACGTGCCTGAGGCTCCTGACGTGCCTGATGCTCCTGACGTGCCTGAGGCTCCTGACGTGCCTGATGCTCCTGACGTGCCTGATGCTCCTGACGTGCCTGAGGCTCCTGACGTGCCTGATTCTCCTGCCGCTCCTGCCGCTCCTGACGTGCCTGAGGCTCCTGATGTGCCTGTTGCTCCTGACGTGCCTGATGCTCCTGCCGCTGGTTTCTGTTTCTGGTCCTGGTCCTGGTCCAGGTCTGGGTCTGTTCTCACCAGTTTATCTGCGATGTTGTCAATGACGTTGGCGTTGAAGAGCCGCCTCCTCTGGTCCTGATGCTCCTGACGTGCCTGATGCTCCTGACGTGCTTGATGCTCCTGACGTGCCTGAGGCTCCTGACGTGCCTGATGCTC